GTATTTTAGGAGAATACGTTTTATTTTACTCTCGTCAAGCCTCGGTTTAAATTCTTAAAATTCAAAATCTAAAAAAGCATAATTCTAAAAGGCCTTTACTTTCACTGTAGCTTGTGCACAAACACACACACACACACACAGACACACACACACACACACACACACACACTTGAGTGGACAGGTAACAAACATTTAGACATCCATAATTAAAGGTCAACAGTGTGGCGCAAACAGATATTGAGAGGAAGTCTGTGTTTATGCTAATGCCTTGTCAGACAGAGAGGGCAGCGACTCTCTGACACCATCTATTAATAATGAGACAAGGTCGCAGAAATGCACTGAGTATGAACCAAACAATGCTGTGCTGCTGGCAAACAATGGCATCTGACAGCGAGCTGAGTGAGTGCTTTGAAATTGGGCTGCGTGTGCACGCAGTGTTTGGAGGGAATGGGGTGTGTGAATGGATTTGTTTGTTTATTGATGTTTGTGTTTTGTGTTTGTCTCACAGCAGTGGTTTTGTCTGGCCTGTTTGCAAACATGCCTGTACACAAGTGTCAACAAGTCTGCATGGGAAGCACGATCGACCAAAAAGCAGAGAGGGAGGCCTCTGAGGGGACGCTGAGGCACATGGGACCTCTACAAAACGCAACTGAAAGCATAGTATTTTCTCATTTCTGAATACAACGACATGTGTTAAATATATTTTACAGATTTAAAAACTATTCTTCCTTAATAATTCTAGCTGGGACATCTTTTAAACTAATAAGACAATGTCTCCCAAACTGGATTAAGGACTGCTTGAGGTATCCTACAAACAATTTACCTGATATACATCTGATACACAAAAGTATGTCTATTCCTTCTGATTCCATCCAAGTTTTTAATTTTTCTTGTGACATACAGAATACTTTCACCTTTTCAAACCACTAAACATCTTTCAAATGAAACTATTCATGAAGGGAAATCTCTTGTTTGGTTGAATTGCTCACAATTTATATCGACAATATAAGGCCACAGTGTGGATGAGGTCGTAAACTACTGAAATAAGGTATACCCAATATGGACCAGCCTTCAACCATGCTACCATGTGGTACACCATTGCTATGTAAAACACACTGTGTTGCATTTTATTATGTATTAATTGTGCAATATCAATAAAGTTGACTTGACTGGTCTCTTTAGCTGTTGTGCTCTACTAACTTCAGCAGCAAGTCGCTAAATGTGTTTGTCTGCGGTTTGGTGCTGAGCAGGAAGTGGACTGTGGGGTTTTGGAGCTTTTTCACTATGAGAGTGATATGATTGTACCAAAACAATAAAGTCGGGGTGAGACAGGTAAACAATGAGCTGAAAAACTCACTACTGCTTCAGAGTCATTAAGGCAAAAGAAAGAAAGAAAATGATACAAGTGGGAGTTTCCCCACCAGATTTTATTCCTAACATTGTGGAGAATTTTTTTTTTTATGAATTTTAAACATCCAAATAATTAGTTAAACAAATCGAGACTTTCTTTATGAAAGTCACATCGAATTTTTGAGAAGGG